GAGTAGGTATACCCTTTCAAACAAAACAAGATTTTTCGAAATCGGTTCCCAATTGGCGATGCGCGAACAAAGAAAAAAACAATCAGCCAAACATAGTACCTACCTCCTCCTTTTTAACCGGCTTCTTTTGAAGTCGGTAAAAACAGGTTTATTTCAATATTTTTGTCAGACAAACGGAAAAATAAGAAAATGAAATAGATGGAAATAAATAGTAATTCTAATTATAATATAAACCTTTTAGTGTTAAGTTAAAATGGTCCACGCAGTGAACTGAACAGACAATAACCTCCTCCTTTTTGGGAAGGGTTAAGTTTAGGGTTTTTTTTAAGGGGGGAAATTCATCGAATGACTGCTCCCGCCTGGGTGAGGCGGGAGGGAGTGTCAGACTCTTACTGCCTAAAAACCACCCCGTTCCTTCTCCTGCACGTCGAGCCGGAGCCCCGGTTACCCGTTAGGTTCTCCGCAGGGTGTTTCATAGTAAAATAAGTCAGAAATGATGAGTAACGTACTCCACGCCCTTAACGGATCTAGCACGACTTTTCCTGTAACCCTTATAGATATATATATATATATATATATATATATATAATATAATATATATCTATTGATCCTAGCATGATATTTTATAGCCTATAGCTGTCCTCAATAAATAGACTGTGCAATATATGACCGAATTAATTAATGCGAACCAGAAGTTCCGGAAATTAGCGCATTCAAACATATAAACAATCTGCAGCTTGTATTGCAGCTTGTACTTACCTATTAACATAAGATACTTATCTATACTGATATTATAAAGAGGAAAGATTTGTACCTATTTTTGTATGTTTGTAATGAATAGGCTCAAAAAGTACTGGTCCGAGTTAAAAAAATTCTTTCACCAATAGAATGCTTCATTCTTCCAATTTGACATAAGTAGGCTACATTACATTTTGAAAAAAAATAGGGATCCTTGGTAAAATTTGAACAATGTAACCGAAGGTGTAGAAAAATGAGTCTTAAAATGTCTTTCGTCGAATGCGCTGCCGACTATTAGCGATAGAACAAAATAATGTATAACAATATTGAAGAACATCATAATGTCTACAAAAAACTCTGCGGTAGCATATGTCCAACTACTGTAGTTATGTCACTACAACAATCCAATTTCCAAAAATAAATAATTGTCTATCCCGTGCGAAGCCGGGACGGGCTGCTAGTACATAATATATTATATCAGGTAGGTACCTATTCAGTCTCCAAATGACTAAACCGTTTTTATAACATTGGATAGGCAGGGATACCTGTAAATTAAGTATGTCATTGTGATGTGTATGCGCCTTTTGTAACTACATGTCTACCTTTATCTATATCCCACCTTACGAGAACAAAAAAGGGATGATCATCATCTGGTGTAAACTTCCGATTAATACCGCTATATTAATACCTACAAATTAATCAAGGCCAACTGAGCGTGGAAAATATCAAATCAACTAAGAAGCTATTCAACAAAAATTTACAAATCTTTTAGATTATTTTGTCGTGACTGTGGAGCCATGGAACGGCCATAAAAAATTGAATAAAAAATATTTTCAATTCTACTGCATTGAGCATTAAATTTTAAACCGAAAAACGCTCCTGCATGCCAGATGAAGAGATAATGAGAAGTGACCCAAAACAAGGCGTTACCTAGGACGTTGAATAAAAGGCTGACATAATGTCACTTAGATTATTAATTGAAGCACCAAAATATCAGTGGTTTATCAATGTGTGCGTGTGTAATGAGTTACCTCGTTACAAGAGACTTTAGGAAAGTGACAGATAACCTTCGTGCCAATAAGTTTATGTTCTAAGCCATAAATAGGTATATAATATCAGTGTTCTAAGCTATAGAGTAGCCAGGTGCCACAGACGTTATTTCAACACTACGTTCGCTCTTTTTTCAACGACCTTGGTTGTTACAATATAATTTGTTTTCTGCCAAGACCTACGTAAGTACCTGTAAGTAAGACCTGCCAAGTACCTGCCTAATGTATTTTGTTTATAAAATGTCCACATTTACTGCGAAAACGTTTCGTTTCGTTATAACAAGAAGTCTAGTTCGTCCGACAGTAATGACAGTGATGTGACAGTGACACGATAGTTTTGACGTTAGGTGGATCTATCGATTTTCTACTATAGTCAGAATTTTAATTAGATTCCAGATTTGACAATAGCTACTGTCATTTTGTGAAATAATGATACCACATATAATAGCGTAGTGATGAACACAAAAATCGATAAACAATCGGTGTGTGTGTTTTATAATAAATGTTACAGAAAGTGACAGGATAGCGATAGCGATGACGGCGATAATTTATAAAATAACTTATTACCATAATACATAATATATCTGTTTTATTTGTCATGTTCCTTCATGATTGCATTTTTTTATTTATTTCACACACAATTATAAAAGAAAAATCTCATATCGTTAATTAATCGCCTAAACTAAATTATCGGTTCAGAAATATTTAATTTCCTAAAATACCTACATAGTTTACGAGATTACAATTATAAACGAAAATAATCGATCCAGGAATATTGCATTTCCATATCGAATAATTTCGCAACGTCACTATTTAGTAATTGTCATAACGTTGCAACACTGAAATTGTCAAATCTGGAATCGAATTAAAATTCCGAGTATACATCATAGTTTTTTGTAACCTTATTACCTTCGATCTTTCAATCGATATCCGGACAAGTATCCTGAACAACACACCGCTAATACTTGTAAACATTGTAAATGTATTGTAGTCTGTGATAGCAAATGTATTGTGTGAATTTATATAATGTCTATAAAAGAATAAGGCAATGCGGTGAAGGCTTGGGATGGTCTCAGCGAAAAGTAGCCAAGTACGGCTGTGGATCAGGAGTAGGTAATTATCTACGTGACTATGCCAATTTTAATTATGTTTTTGGTTGTAAATAAGTACTAGTAATTTTGAATGTCATTAGATAGCTAGGTTTGCCTGTCACCAGTCACTGTAACTTGTCAACCACCTAGCACAAATGCATCTTGTACTTACCTATAAGAGATTGATGCACTAGTCTTTTGCCATTAATTTGGTTTTTATGAATGAGGCTTGTGTTACAAAAGTGTGTCTTAGAGTTAAGTTGATCATAAATGTAACCCTGTATTATATCAGTGTAATCAATTCTTGGTGAGCTTAACAAATAAAATAATTTTCATTCAAACCAATCTAGTTTCACTTAAACTGTATGCTGCTAAATGCTTTATGTAATATGAGTTACCAACTGCAAAGATTTTTACAACAGGTAAATAAAACTAAGTCAAAGGACAGCGAGCAAATACACACAGGTCTGCCACTGCTTGGACTACTTTTATTTGAAAAGTATCATGGTCACTGTGCCAAAGCTCATCAAATTCATTCCAGCTTTCACTGTATATTAATATGGTTGGTAACCGCCGCCTATACAAACAAACTTACTGGCGCCTAGGGAGATGTGGGTGCATCACATCACTAATACATTTTTGCCCCCCATCATCCTTTCCAGCACTCAACAGCTGTAGGATGGTACTACATAATTTCAGAGGTTGATACATATCTGGCTTTATGCCTCATTATGCTTACTAGGGTCCTAAAATCTTGTTAAGTGTTTTTTTTTAAGTAGGGAAAATCATCAAATAACTTCTCCCGCCTGGGTGAGGCGGGAGGGAGTGTCAGACTCTTATTGACTAAAAACCACCATCATGTATGCATGTCGAGACCGAGCCCCGGTAATGCATTAGGTTCTCTGCAAATATTGTTAAGTGGTTAGGGTTAGGATTGTGTAGGGTTATGTTTTTAAATATACTGTTCGACTTTTACCTCCTCCTAGTTCTTATTGAAATAAATAATTTGACTTTGACAGCAAACATAAAATAATAAAAAACATTTATTAATGACTAGCTTCTGCCTGGGACTTCATACACACACAATTCCGTTATCTCCCATTCTTGTAGGATTTTCAGGATTTCTTTTGTCTATAAGAACCTTCTGACAATAACAACACAAAAATAAATAAATTGGGCCAGCCATGGTGGTGTGACCAATACTAAGGAATAATTTTTATATATTTAGGTTAATAATAGAATGGTAGATCATTCAATTGTTATTTTATTTTTTTAACATGATGTTACTACTCTATAACTGTTAATGCCAAAAGTCATAGTACCTTTCCCAAACATTTCCCAGTACATGAATATTTATAATTTTGTGCATACACCTATCCATACATATTCTGGCTCCAACTTGCCCAATGTGCATGTATGTAAAATGTAATACAGACATAAAAGTTTAAAATCATGGTGGAGACCTATCATATACAAGCTTTGATGAGTACAACTTTTATTCCGAAAACCTTAACTACAAGAAGCTGATCACACCTGTTATTCCCTGAAAAATAAGTAGAAATGTGGACATCCATTCTTTGCTAAGAGCCATATATATTCCAAAGCCGTTTGACATCCACCAGGAACCACCACAATTAGATAACCCTGATACGATATAATCTATTATATTCTCAAGTAAAATATGAAACATATTAACCATTATCTTGTAGAGGGACAATACAATAAATATTAATAAACGCAATAGCAATTATGCCAAAGCTATGGTGCCATAACAATGATAAAATCGACAACTTACATTATAATCAAGGGGATCGCAATACAATACAACACATTCGCAGTTTACATTCGCATAATGTGTTCTGTGAGTATGATTTATTTGATTGTTCCATGTGTGTATTATAGATAATGTCCACATGTAGCGCATCGGCTTACAATTCTAGGTATATTATAAATGCAAGAAATTATAAAAAAAAATATCTCATACAGTACATTACAAAAGGCATGATATAGAAGCCTATCTGAGACCATTTCTATTTCTAAGGGGAGTTTTTTGGTAGAAAATAAATAATATTCTTGTATAATTAAATTCTTAAATAATTATGATAAATTAAAAATAACTTACCATGTCTTCATCGCTTTCTCCTTTAGCGTCGTCGTCATTGTTGGGTTTTCTTCTTTTTCGGTTGTTGGATCCTGAAGGCCCTGGTTGTGTGATGTCCTCTTCTTCATCGGATGAGGAGGAATCAGACTCAACAATCATTTCTTCCATTATTAATAAAAACCTTAAGAACTGCGGTGGGTAAAAGTGGCAAACCAAATACTTAATACATAATACTGTTGAGTATAATTGTTAAAATGAACAAAAAATGGCGCCTCTACAAGGACGGACCTACCCTCTATTATTAATAAAATAACTACAACAAGGTTACATATCTAAGGCAGGACGCGTTGGTGTTGACACCATGAAAAACATGTATTGATCGATGCCCTTTTAATACCCACATAACCATACATTTAGTATATGTAGATTGTATTTAATATAATGTGCCAAAAATACTTTGTAACGAAATGGAATATTAGCCGATAGCCTGTATAATTATGAAATATTTAAAAGGTTGCTAAGTAACTAATGTTATAAAATAAAATAATGCTATGCTAAAATATTACTAAGAACTTCGAAAATTCTAAGGAAAAATCTAAATTTTAACACTGAATGAGAATTAAACCGAAGATACGCCAATGTGTTTTAATTCATTTGCACCCTAGTTTAAGACCTGAAATTAAAACAGACTAATGTTTATGCACATATCCTAAAGAACATCACTATTGCGAATGAACGGCAGATTAACGTCAGTATTCATAGACGGATGTTTGCACTTGACAGCGGTAAGCAAAGGCGGGAAATGACAGTAATACAAAATAAATAAGCATATCGGTTTCATCTGTGGGTTTCATACTTTTACTGTGGTGTATGTCGTGGCGCGTCGTGTGGGTCGCGGCGTCACGACATAAGTGGGAAGTCACGACACTCTACTCCACGATAATTTATTTCACGTTTTTTAACTTGTTTAGATAAAAAACATTGGAGTATGATTATGATATACATAGAGGTCCTGTTATTTTGAGTATATATTTATGGTCATAGACTAATGACTTGACTGCACGGTTGGTGCGGTGGCTGGGCAACCGGCTGCCGTTCAACGTGTCGCGGGTTGGATTCCCGCACGGAACAACACCTTGTGTGATCCACAACTGATTGTTGTTTCGGGTCTGGGTGTCATTGTGTATGTGAACTTGTATGTTTGTAAACGCATCCACGACACAGGAGAAAATCCATAGGTGGGGCAACGTATTTGAAAAAAAAATTATGGAGACTGGCCCAGAGATATAAAACGCACGCTTCCCATGCATGAATGTGCGGGTTCAAAACGGACGGACATACATAAGGCGATATCACGAAGTTTTGTTTCTTATGGCAGTTGATATCATGACACCCACAGAGGTAGTATTATTGGCTGCAAGCAAGCGATGTCGCACGATGTTACCAGACAACAACCCGCTTTATCCAACGTCGCTGGCGACTCGTGGTGCACGACATTATCCCCTAGTGTACACGTATCCCCTAGTGTATCCTTGGCTTTATCGCTGCCAATGTCGCATCACTAGTTTTGTCAACAAATGTCAGTGTCTGCGAAAAAAAGACGGGCTGCGGACATTCGGGACATTCGATTTTGGCGCGAAGTATGAAAAATTGTGATATTTAGGTAGCTGTAACGCACCGAATTCATGTTTATTTGAAGATTTTCTCAGAGTTATTTTAATTATTAGGTGCTGTTTACTCAAAAATGCAGAATGGATTTAGATGAAATCTATATAGATAGGTTTTTTATGGAATAGGAGGAAAACGAGCAGACGGATCATCCGATGGTAAGCGATCAGCGCCGCCCATGGACAATTGCAACACCAGAGGAGTGACAGGAGCGTTGCCGACCTTCACAGGTACCTACCTATAGGGTTACAGGTTACGTCGACCTGATTTAAAAAATATCAAACAGAAAGTTATGTTTTGAGAAATCGTTTGAGGAATTCCTTTGCGCTCAGTCGCTTACCGTACACTATGGTGAAATTGGGATAACCGACGTCATTACTGCGTCACCGAGATTGCTGCTAAAGTACCTAGGTACTACTTACTTGCGACGTGGGATTATATAATAACTCCAACAAAAAACTTAAAAACAACGAGGTCGCTCGACCAGCATATGGGCCTTACATATTACCTAATATTTCTTGTCCAATGATCATTTCTGTGACTATGCGATGCAGGGGCGGCCTGGCTCTATAAGCCTCAGCGATCACCGAGGGCCCCGGGCCTATGGGGACCCGAAATTTCTTTTTCTTCTTAACTTTATTTAGTTACACGAAGTGCCTGGGGTTATAGAAACCCCAAATAGTTTCTGAATCATATTAATTTCACTAAAAATAAACATATAAGTAAACAGTTCAATCTTAACAAAAAATATGTAATGCATATTTTGTTTGTACTTATCAACCTGCCTAACAAAATTGCGGTCAAATGTTGGCCTCTAACCATTGAAATTGACATATAGAGTCGAAACACACACATACAAAAACTGTACCTCAAAAGCTCCCCCCAAATGCTGCCAGACCGCTCCTCAGTCGAGATCCATATATAGGTTGTTGTTTCGGTCGGTATTTGCATAATTTAAGTCTTGTTTTTAGTGCTCTTCATGTAACAAATATCATCAGAATCGATTCAGTGCCTAATTGAGATTAATTGTAAAATAATATAAATTAACTATCGTCATTTAAAATAAATAATCCCGGAGGGATTTCACCATTAGGTACAGTGCCCGTTTTTGTAAGGTTTTAGTGATAAAAACTATTTTATCGACTACTGTTGTACCGAATCCTTCTAAAATAAGTTCAGTGATCAAGGGATACAGAGGCCCGGGGCTCTAGCGCATAGTTTCCGTTCCTATGGGATTTCTGTGATAAAAACATACGTTTCCCAGCTTTCAAATCGTATTGTTTTAAAGAATTTAACTCAAATAGATTCAATGGGTCGAAAGATAGAGAGTTCCGGGATTTTAAACGGATAATGCCCGTAGCACTTCCTCTATCTGATTTCTCTCGGATTTACGTAATAAAAGTGTACGTCCTTCCTCGAGTATATAACTATGTTTGCACCAAATTCAGTTGCAGTTGTAGTTGTTAAGTATGGCGATAAAAAATTCACATCATCGCATACCACCAGGCGATGTAGTGGTCACACGTCGGCCCATTAAATATATTATCAGGTAATTTCAGGGACAAAAAATAACCCACGTCCTTTGTCGAGTCTCTACGTCTGCACCTCATTTAAATCAATTCAGTGGTTTAGAAGACTGGTTTAGGCTCTTAATCTATTGTTAACATTTAGAACAATTTTTTTATTCGTCTTAATTTATTCATTCCATTAGGTAGGGTAAATACGCTAAACGTCGCCCCCCCCCCCTTTTTTTTTTAATGGGGGAAAATCATCGAATGACTGCTCCCGCCTGGGTGAGGCGGGAGGGAGTGTCAGACTCTTACTGACTAAAAACCACCCCGTTCCTTCTCCTGCACGTCGAGCCGGAGCCCCGGTTACCCGTTAGGTTCTCCGCGACTCCGAATCGGCATCGGCCCTATTGGGCCCCATCTGTGGTGGTCTGATGGCTCTTTGAGGCGCGCGCGGAACGCGACGCGCCGTACGCTCGGGTCTGTTTCTGGTCGGACGGGGAGCCACCCATGCTCGCCGTCCGCAGGCCCGCGCTTACGGTGGCCGGAGATCGTCCCGCGATCCCCGACGCCCGGTGTGTCCCTCGCGATGGCTGGGTTGCGAGGAGGCAGCGCTTCGCTGCCTCACGCGTCCCGCCTCCTCCTTAGCTAGCATGACTGCTTCGCAAAAGGAGGAGACGGCATCCCAGTCCCCCTCGCTCCGCATCATGGCCTGCACTAGGCCCGGACGCGAGAGGTCGCCATCGCCGATCACTTCCCTGAGGGCACGGCGGTGCTCAGCCCACGCAGGGCATTCTCCCACTGTGTGTTCCACCGTGTCCTCAGGGCAGTCCTCGCAGTGATAACGTCGGCCCCCTAACGGTGCCTCTGTGTTTAGATCGCTGTGGCACCATAAACTTGCAATATTGGGATAGCCTTTGATGCGGTCTTTGATAGTTTAATAAATGTATTTCATGTTTATAGGCATCAAGTTGACATTTCTACTACCAGGGAAAAGAACTAATGCTTAGATGCACCGAGAACGAAAAAACCCTAAAGTCGGCCATTTACGGCCCAGGTCGGTCGCGTTTTTTCCCAAATGTCGGGCGGGTATAGGTGTTTTAAATTAAAACTGACAAATATTAAATATGATTTATTTTGGCTGGTATCTTACTAACCATCCAACCATTTGTATTTTTAAAGAAGTTAAGCCAACAAACATGGATTTATTAGGTAGCAAATTCCAGAGAGCAATTTATATCATACCTCTATATTCCCAAACCGTAATAAGCAACAAAAATTGGTTTTAAATATTATCTAGATCCTACTATTTGAACTTAACTCATTATAATATTAATACAATAAATGTATGATAAATATTAAACTTTGAAAAAATAATAAAAAGTAATCAGCCTGTATAGTGGCGCTGGAATTTTAGGCTGGTCGACATTACGATGTTTAACGTTTCTAAAGCCGGCCCCTATTTTGTGTCCATTATTTCTCGAGATTTAATTAATGTCCCCCGACCGGTATTTGGCGATTAAACGTAAAATAGATTTATTTGTCTATATGCATTGCAAATTCTCTAATTAAGCCAATGGAATTACAACAAATCTAAAAATATAGAAAAATCACTTACTACTGGTAATAAAGCTGAAAACAAAAAAAAAGGAATGTCTTACTGTTCTAATATCAATCCCCGAAAAGTGGGTATTCACAGCAAGTAAAGTACTTTAAATATGAAATAGACACTTTGACGGTTCAATCACTACTTACGCTCTGTGTGCGAAGAGTGAGTAACGTAATCGGTATAGTCAGAATTTTAATTAGATTCCAGATTTGACAATAGCTACTGTCATTTTGTGAAATAATGATACCACATATAATAGTGTAGTGATGAACACAAAAATCGATAAACAATCAGTGTGTGTGTTTTATAATAAATGTTACAAAAAGTGACAGGATAGCGACAGCGATGACGGCGACAATTTATAAAATAACTTATTACCATAATACATCTATTTGTTTTATTTGTCATGTTCCCTCATGATTACATTTTTTCATTTATTTCACACAGTTATAAAAGAAAAGTCTCAGATCGTTAATTAATCGTCAAAACTAAATTATCGGTTCAGAAATATTTAATTTCCTGATATATTTAGTTTACGAGACTAAAATTATAAACGAGAAAAATCGATCCAGAAATTTTGCATTTCCATATCGAATAATTTCGTAACGTCACTATTTAGTACTTGTCATAACATTGCAACACTGAAATTGTCAAATATGGAATCGAATTAAAATTCCGAGTATAGTAACGATTTGTACAGATGTAGTATGAACTAAGGTTCCGATTAGGGTGGCATTTTTGACACTTTATCAAGTTTTAAATGAACGCAAGCTGAAAATGTCCAGACGGCCGAAGTTTGGGGGGGGGGGGGCTGACATATGGCGTATTTACCTGATAGGTGTAAAATTTGCAGTGAACTGATATAAATGTATTACTGCAAATTGTTAAACTCTTTTCGTGAACTGACACTCCTAGAAATTATATAATCAAAGATCTAGACATATTTATAATCTAAGCTTCAAACGAATGATGACCAGATTTTGTCAGGGTGCGGATAAGTCTGCGCATTGTTATTTTTCTATTAATTACCATCATTTCGTTTTAATCATGTCTACCTGAGAGAAAGTTAACAAAAGAATAAAAAAAGGATTGGGGGTTGATTTTTATCATGTTGATTGATATCAAATTGATATCATGATGTTGATTGATATCAAAAATAATCAGGAAAACAGTGCCCGTGATAACCCCTACCAAATCAAAATATGGTAGCCAAGAATTATAGAACAATAAAAAAAAATAAGTTCGTATAGACACGTAGGTAACTTTCACGATGTTGATTATTCCTGCTCTTTCTGTCAAAAAATACTATCAAAAATCTGTATCTCATAAAGTAGGTATTAAAAAAAGGACGGAGTTGCCAGTCTGAGATTATAAGAACAAATCCGTAATAAATCCGTTTTCGTAATAATAACAATAGACATCGATAGGAGAGTATGTAATACAGATTGAAACATTTATTAATACAAATATTTAGCTTTAAAACACATATATTGAATGCTATTGTTAAGCATTGAATTAACTCAGTTATACAAAAACTAAATATTTTTATAAAGGTGGCAACAGAATTACGTACAGCAAAAAAATATATTAGCATAAATTATTGTCATTACACAAAAATAATTGACAAGAGTCTGCCATAGTGCATTTATACAAAAACATATTTTTTTTATTTCCATAGCCAAAAAACATTTCCACTATCAATAGACAACGGTACATACCACAGGTATTTGAAATTAATTCCTAAAGATTTAAAGTTATTTATAACACAACACTGTATTAATGTTAAAGCTGTAAGTTGAATGATTAACTTACCAATACATAATTTAAAAGAATAATCAGATTTTGTTTTATTTTAATTTTTTTCAAGATAGTAATCTCACACTAAAATACAATAATGTCCTTTAGTTATCTTCTCTCACTATTGTGGGTACGATCGTTTTAACCACAGATTATAAAAGAGAGTCTAAAGGTCATCGCACATCTAATAAGCACGCATCCAACCCTGCAATTAAGTTATAGTAAATATGCACTTTAAATTGCATGTCGTATGATATATTTCATAACTTCAATACAAAAGGCTGACAGGGCGGATGTTCAGCGCGCGATCTACTCGAGTTGTAGTCAAGGTACCCGCGTGCTTACGGCACGTCGCCGCGTCGTCCGCGAACTGGCAGCGCGCCGACGACACGGCGAGTTGACGGCAAGCCGCCCGCCAGAGGCTAGCGAAACAACGTCACATCGTAAGTAGGTATTGTTGATTATACTCGTGGGGACAAAAGCTTCCACCTCTGGGCCGGCGTACAACACGCGCGTAAGCGCGCTTGCGGCTAGCGGTAGGCAAATTCGAAACAACGCAGTGCCGGAGCCGTGCTTTTAAGACGTGCGATGGCCTTTAGACAAATCGCTTAGTTACATGGCAGAACGCTTGGGTAACATTCTTCCTTTCAAATACTAAATCAGTCTACAGGGTTATTGATTCTTGTACTGAACATCGAAATTAATTCTTATAAAGATATTATCCTAACTAATCGTGTACAAAAGTTAGTACGTTACGAACCTAGAGTCAAAAAAATAATATCAGTACATATTCTGTGCAAAGGCAAAATTAACGTAGTCTGTAAAAATCAGTCTGATGTAAAATTGACAAAAAAAATTCTTTGTGTATAAAAATTTAGATTAAATACTAACCTTAGCTTACTTCACTAGCCATAAACCTAAAAAACATAATGGATCGGGAAAAGTTTCAAATTGGGAAAACAATAAAGATATTAAATATATGCTACGATATGCTGTATGCAATAAAAATTATGTAAATGTATGTTATAAAACTATTCAGAAGCGAATAGAACTTCACGAAAAAACCTACAGATGAATTGAGAACCTGCTCCTTTTTGAGAAGTCAGTTAATAAACTGATATACTTCTTTAACTAGTAATACTTTATTTCTAAAAAGACAAAAAATGGAACAATCCTTAATAACTCAGCACAGGATTTATAGAAAGAAGTCTAACTTATACGATATTCACCCATTCCAAAAGATCTGTGTATTTTAAAATACTACATTAATTCGATATTTATTTCATCCCACATTCCAACATAGCATAATTAGCAAAATATACGTGTATAATGTACTACACTAAATTATCGTATGTACATAATATTTAAACGACTAATGTCTTTATAGGAAAAAATCATAAAACAAGACGGGACGGTATCAATATTTCACGAGCCACTCATAATTTTATGATGCTATAAAGCTTTCCTAATTCTCTAATTGAAACATTTTTACTACCATTACAGCAAAAACGTGATTCTACAATATGCTAATGTATTAGCACAAAATAATTTATCCAAGCTGCACTCAGATCCAATAAGTCTCTCTATATTAATAAAAAGCTGCATTAAAAAAGTATGAAAAAATATTTACCATACACAGTCGAGTTTCTATATTATTCCATTGTATTTGTTTCGCTATAATATAATCCCTACTCCTAATAATCCTAATCTAGCATTATTTAGTATTCTGTATTGTATGATTGTTACTGATTATGTATATGGTTATGTAATATATAATTATGTAATAAGAGTCTACGAAAAGAGATTACCAATATTAAGAGATCAATGTTGAAGGTCTATACTACGACATTGTTTATTTTAAGATAATTATTATATTGATTGAAATGGTTATACTATATCTAAAGCAATGTTTCTATAAGATACCGTAATTGGGCTGAATAAGAATCGCTGTGGGTTCTACGTCTACAAGCTCAGGTCGGCTAAACAGCCTAGTCACATCAAATTTTTAGTAACTAAGGGAATATGTTTGAGTGTAAAATATCCATACATTTAAGTTCTAATGAAGTCCCATTGGTTCGTTGGTTGGTTGTCACAGATCACCATGATAAGAGGCTCGCCACGGCTCGCTCGGTCGACTCCTAGACACATACCTGCCGCAGTGTTGTATATAGGACTGCCTCCCTGTAAATATTATGTCAATATGTTAACATTATATGTATAAAATAAAAGGTGTATAATGTTTTAAATTCTATCCGATCTGAAATTTCGCTTGAACTGTGATTTAACTAAAAACGCCGCTTCTTTTTTGGTCTTTCATCATAACATACAATATTATTAAATTGAAGAGGTATATTATTACAGTTCCAATTTCATAATATTGCATTTTAAATACAGTAATTCTTAAAAGAAAAAGGATTTCACCTATGATAATTAAGGAACGGGTTACCGTTCGGATCGGGCTCACTTTAAAAATAACATACTGTAGATGGATCTAAATCTACATAAGAGATATATGAACTGCTTGAAAATTATTGAATTGGAAGTGATAGCATAAAATATTACGATTTATTACAAATAATTCAGATATAATTAATTTAATAAATTGAAATTGAGTTCAGTTTTATACATTTAACTATACCTCTAGTATGCGCAGATGCGCTACAAAATGATAACGATACGACGTTCATCTGCTATTTAGTCTTTTAAGTTTTAATCAAGTTAGGTTTTCCCTGTTAAAAATATTTATTATCATGTGACATTCCCTCTAAAACTAAGCGAACATTCATATTGCACTAATCGCAAACTAAGCTAATCTAATTTATTACGTTTCATTTTATTATAATTAAGTTATTCCGATTATCTTTGTTCTAAACGATTTTTATTTACTTAATACATTATTTATAAATCAAACAGTGCATGTGCACCTAGAATATTATAATATACCTCTAGATAGAAACAATAAAATGTTACATAAAACAAAGCTAAAAATTAATAAACGAAATATTTTTGTTCTTAAATAATTCACCGATCAAACTTAAATGTACCCACAACCAATAAGCAAGGTAAATATGAAAGAAGCATTGTTTGACGTCATCAGGTTTCCCAGGCCCCTGTGATAGACAGGCATGATAGTATGAATGTTTGCATGACCGTTCTTTATTAGTGCAACTATTTTGTGCAAAGGGTTAGTTTTATTAGGTGGTACCACTCGTGTATTCAAACCGTTCCAAGCAATACAAATAACAACTTACTTCTTATCCTGTCAAACGTACAGTACGTTTGTCCGTGCTATTTGCTTATATATGTATATATCTTTTTTAATTATTTTATTACATTTGTTTGCATGACACACTCGTGTTTCAATCATTATTCAAACTGATGAAATTATTGAATAACTTATCACAAACAAGTTAGTTAAACAAAATATTCGTGTGAAGTAGTGTGTCCTGCAATTCTCATAGGCAATAATTGTATTGTGAACCTTATAGAGAATCAACACTACAAAAATTAGAAAGGGACTCACAGCTCCAAACATCTTATCCCACTCCTTGGTGGATGGTGGATTGTTACACCTTCCATGACTCAGGACCAAATTTCGAAATACGTCGAAACAGAGAATGTTACCCATCCGCAGCTGCTTGCGCAGAGCCCTAAAGCTCCAATTTTTAATATTCCTAATGAAATCCACATGGCGGTATGCAGGCTAGAAACGAAACAGTGTCAATTGCACGCAATATGTTCGACATTATTAGGTATATTTCATTCACAATTGAATTGAAAATAATAATGCCATGCGCACAAATTTTCTACTCAACGTTTCAGCCCTTTGATACCTCATGCAAATAATTATGCAAAAGCAGTATACTAAAGCAGTTCAACGAATCTAATGTATCTAATAACTACGTTCACTAGGACTTACTGTTACGACCAGCCATTAAGATTTCTAATACTTAATACATGTAAGGAGTTTCCAGGATTGTTTTAGAAGATGGATGTTTTTAGAATAGGGTTATTTGCAAGTTATGCCACAGACGTAAGGGAGTGTAAGATACTTACGGATCCCTTATGTTTCCACTCCTGTGAGCCGCCAAGTTCATGGCATTTGCTCAGTTTCGGTGCAACATTGTTGGATGCGTCCAAACATAACGTGCGTCCTAGTACCAACTCGAAGCGACTCGTTTCAAACCACATCTGCAATGTTAATAACTTTTTATAACCTTGTTTTACGGATATCTAATTTAACACCTACAATTCATATACCTACGCAAATATCTACAATACAAATCTATCTACTGAGAACTTATCGACAGAAAATATTGCAATATTTCGTCAAAGATGCAAGTTATTACATTTATCATTCTGCGAGCTTTACATATTAGAACAAAGCCTCGATAACTGGATTTTACATCGGCGAGTAACGGAAATATGCAGGCAAAGATATGATAGATAGATTATAAGTAAATATGCATGCAAAAAAAGGAATACGATATGTATGGTACCTATTACAACTTCTTATTAGATTTATTCATAAGGCATAACGTCTCTGGCAAAGTTGACTAGACTAGGCAAATATGCAAAATTTTATTATTCCCATAATTATCCATCACTATAATTATTTTACTCAGCGCTATGCCTGAAAATTGGACTGCTCCCTGGACTTTAAAATGATAATATTTAAATACTGCCTCATTGGCTGAGTGGTCGCAAATGTGACTGCCGGGCAAGGGGTCTCCGGTTTGATTCCCGGGTCGGGCAAAGTATCACTGGATTTAAAAAAAAATCTCAGTAGTAGCACGGTGTCTGGAAATGTGCCCGGTATATTGCAATAAGCTCACCCCCTATTACATGGGGCTCATAACATAAATAGTGAAAAGTAGGTGTTACATTGTACAGTGGCATAATGTGCACCTCTGCCTACCCCTTCGGGGATAAAAGGCGTGATGTTATGATGATGATGAATAATTAAATAATTATTCTTCCAGAACGATTACGTAAACAACACGTGTCACCTGGTTCAAGATCCTTATGCAGCTTCCGAGAACCAATCCTCCTCCTTTCGTCTTTACGTCCTTTTCACTCTGGATACACAACGAAGTGTTCTTCAGTCTAATTTGGTATGAATCAGTGTAATTGCGTTTCCTGTAAACATAGAAATGTGTGATAAGTATGAATGCCAAGTGCCAATGGTCTTGGGGTTTTCATTGGCCGGTCAAAGGTAATAAATACTGTGATTTTTAATTTTCTTTTTAGTTGGACTTTACATCGAGAAGAACATTATGATCATTATGTATTGTGGAAATGTGTCATTAAAGTTGAAAATTTAGTTAAGAATTCTTCAGTAGCTTAAAGTAAAATACTATCTTAATTAATTGGATAATTGTATTGTGATAATTTGTTATACTTATGCTGGTAGCATGCTGTAAATAAAATGTTTAATTCATTAGTTTTTATTGTACGTATTTCGCACAATTATTGGCACTATATGAACTAACAATATCAGAGTTCATTAAACTACTAATAATATAAATTCAAACTGCAAGGCAACTTGGTGGCGTTACGTTATATATTGCAGCGTTGTTTTACTTGAATGATTCTCCTTACTACATAATTTGTTGACCAGAGAACAAAATCATCAAATTATCATCAAATCATTTATTTGCTAATATGGGTATATTAAGTTGTCAGTCGACAAGTAGATACAGTTCCGACCATATTACGCCTTGAGGCATGCAAATTACAACAATTATAAAAATTACAGCGTCACAATGTTATTTGGAAAAAAAATCAAAAATACATTCAAAATTCAAACTTTCAACACAATTATTGTAATTTATGTGAATTCAAAATATGATGTCACCAATTTAATTAAAATTTAATGTCAATAAATGTATTTGTCAAATAAAATGTCATGAATTAGATTAAATTAAATGTCGTACGTAATGTCATGAATTAGATTAAATTAGATGTCGTGGTGGCCCGGAGGTTTAAGACCACTTCTCATGCATGAGGGTGCGGGTTCGAAACCTACCAACGGCAAGTACCAATGTGACTTTTTCCGAGTTATATGTACTTTCTAAGATTATTTAGACACCACTGACAAACGGTGAAGGAAAAACATCGTGAGGAAACCTGGACTTATAATTTCTAATTATAAGTTTGAAATCGCCAACCCGCATTGAGCAAGCATGGTGATTAACGCTCTAACCTTCTCCGTGTGAGAAGAGGCTTTGCTCAGCAGTGGGCATTTATAGGCTGTTGATGATGAAATGTCGTACAAAGGACAATGCTCATAAATGTGTGGAATCGGTTTACAAAACCTATCAAATGCCTGCAAAACTTACAAAACATAGAAATTTACTTAATAAAAAATAGCGATATTTTACATTAATTTGTCCTGCAAATATTCGTTGACAGTGTAATATGCTTTTGGCACTAATAGGGCTTTGATTTTTTTTTATATATTTGAAATATATCTGAAATCTTCAGTACAGACTTGGGTAGGTGATTATAGACACGTGGCGCCATGCGGAAAATACTTTTATTAAGTAATGCTGTTTTAGTGACTGGAAAATAAGTATAAGATTGATATCTATTACTATTAAATTTGTTAAAGCATTGCAGCACAAAATTATCATTTTTCAACATTCAGTCTTAATCTTTTATCCATAAACTTTTGAAGAGATTGGCAGAGTCTTAACTATTCATATACTATGTATAATTATAATACGACTAATCAGTATATGTAATATAATTATGTAAGTTTATTGTTGTGTCATATATATTATGTAAGATTATATTGAGATTTATTTTATGTAAGTCTATACTATTCTTTTTTATATATTTCTCTTGGTTTGTTCTTGAATACGCTTGCTTCTTGCATGAACCATTGTTTTTGTCTCTGCATCACCCACCCAATGGTCTGGCTGGAGAAGAATGCCCATGGCATTAAGATCACCTTGTATATTAGTGTGTGCATGAAGCATAGTACAAAAAAACGCCCAACTGCAGGGCAAATGCCTCCCTACCCTCCTTCCACTCCTCTCTATGTAAAGCTTTTTGCGGCCAATCTTTATCATAGATAGAAAAGAACATAATAAGAAAAATCTAGAGAAAATAGAAAATGATACATCAAATTTGGAGCTACTTGCACATCTGGTCAGTACTGCTATAGCGAAAGATAAGTTCTTTTGTCATTATTAACATAAATTTTTGTACCGCGTTTTGGTGTAATGTGCATGTGACATTGTATGGATGTAAACACACCCACGACATATTAGAAATTCTTAGTGTGAGACATTGTTCAAAGGATCGTTCTATGCGGAAAAAGGGATACATACTTTGTTAAAGTACAGTCTTACTATAAAGATTATTACCTGGAATGCCATGGCTGGAACTTATTCTTCTCTACATCATTGAGGTCGGCTATTCTCTTCTTTACCACTTCATTCTCACCAGTCTCCAGTTCAGGGTAAATATTCTCCAAGTACCACTTGAAAGACTTGCAGCTCAGGTTCTTGCGCAAGTCGTGACGAGATGTTAAGTCGCCAAGGTCCAGGTTAGCCGCCGACGGGTTATGCTCGATCACCTTGTTCTGAAATGTGTTATTGTAAATAAATATTAGTTTGTAAATGCTTTGCACGACCTTTTTGAAATGTTATTTAATTCCTCATGAGGAAGAACCCCTCTTTTTTTGAGGGGGAAAATCATCCAATGACTTCTCCCGCCCGGGTGAGGCGAGAGGGAGTTTTGGACTCTTACTGACTAAAAGCCACCCCGTTCCCACTCCTACACTTCGAGCCGGAGCCCTGGCAACCCGTTAAGTCTTCCGCGGCTTCGTAACGGCATCAGCCCTGTTAGGCCCCATCTGTGGTGGTCTGATGGCTCTTTGAGGCGCGCGGAACGCGACGCGCCGTACGCTCGGGCCTGGTTCTGGTCGGGCGGCGAGTCACCCGTGCTCGCCGTCCACAGGCCCGTGCTTACGGTGGCCGGAGATCGTCTCGCGAGGAAAAACCCCTCTATGGTTCGAAACTAGTAGAGCTTTTCTCAGTACGTGCGTACGTGAGTAACCCGCGATTTTAGTTAATTTAGTATGACTCACAATAGTTATTATAAAAACATGTTATTTAATATCAGATTGGCGATTTGTTTTACTAGCTTCTGCATAGCCAGTGGTTTTACCCTCGTCCCCGTGATAAAAACTATCCCATGTGGTATTCCACACTGTAGTCTATTTTTCATCCAAATAGTTACTCCTAGTAATTATTTTTTCGTAAAAGAGTAACAGATATACATCCGTCTATATACCGTCCCAAACATTCGCATTTATAATATTAGTAGGATTGTAAGTATTGTATGTTCGACTCCTACTCTTGTCTTGTCTCTGTTTACCCCAGAGGAAAACATTAATGGCTATACATATGTAAGTAGGTATGAATTTATTTTTACTTCTTCACAAATTTTCACTACGTCTCTTTTGGAATAGGGTCACCTCACTGACCTCACCCTCTATTACATGGGACTCATAACATAAATAGTGAAAAGTGTTACATTGTACAGTGACATTAAATGCTGTAATGTGCACCTCTGCTTACCCCTTCGGAGCTAAAAGGCGCAATGTTATGTTATGTTTCACTTTGGCTCGGAAGATATTGCTCACTCTCAGTTAACAAATTTTAAATGTCATGATTACAAAGTAATAATATTTATAAATAGGCGGTAGCCTATTAAGGCGAATACCAAGACAATGATTAAAATCTATACTAATTTGCATTTTAAAGAGTTTTCCTTAATATTGTAATTGCGTTATAAAGTAGGTACGAAGTTCATCGTGTCTCCTAATGATAAATAAACAAAGTAGAACAAATGTGATAGCCGTCATCGACGTGTTACAAAATCATTGCTAATTCAATAACATGCCTGGCCTTTACGGTCCATTCGATCATTTAGAAATACATGAATAATTTAATAAACATGTTTTTTCGTTGTGTTTTGCGACACAATTGACTAGATCATAAAATAAAAATATAAAGGTTTTCGGAAACAGACAATTCACGACATTATTGAAACTGGTGTTACTAAGCATTTCCGTGATTTTTTTTTATTGTATTGAGACTAATTACTAGTTATGTGCGTTCGTTTCGTCGTACATTAAACGACAGGTCCTAGATTATATTTGCGGCGTGAATGAGCAGAAATAACCTGTCCTTCTCGTTGCTTCTTAGTTCCTACTAGACACATGTTAGTAGTAGGTATTTTTCATAACAAAAGCATTAAGAGATAAAAACAAAAACCAACTTACTTTGGCATCTACCTACATATTAGTAGGTGCACGATATCAATATAATTGTGCAAACTTCATTCAGTTACCTAACAAATAGCAGAGAACGGTCACTATGTAGGTCACGCTGCACTAAAACGGACGCAGAACAAAAAGGAAATTAAATCTACTGACCACATAATCGTCCATCCAGACTCGAGCCATCCGCATCGAGTTATGTAACATGAAGTCTTCCTTATCTCCAGTGCCATAGGGTCGACGTTTACGGAACACATGGCCAACCCTACTACAAGGTATGAGCTCCAAAGAACCGCCGCACATCCATATCTAAAAATACATTAATTCAATTAAATTTTATTGTTACTCCTTTTATCACCATCAGCTTATAAGTGGCAAATGCTGAGGAGCCGCTGAACGCCGCTTCTCACACGAAGAAGGTGTAGTAAACATTAATCACGATGCTTGATCAAGGCGGATTAGATTGACTTCTTCACCGAAGGAAATGAATTTATTCTACAAACTTCGAACTAATACGTTTTTCTTAGCAAATAAAATAATGAAATCTTGCTAAAGGAAATCTACGTACCCGGAATGATATCTCCAAGTTCTCACCGCCCCAAACATTCATGCCCTCGTCATACTTTCCAATGTAGTTAAAATATTCACGATAAATTGCAAACAGTCCACCAGCCATAGTCGGTGACTTTATTGGCTTCACAAAATCTTCGTCGGCTGAAAAAATATTTGTTTTTCGTCAAAAAAGTATATTATGTTAAGAGCATATTTATTATTTCTCTAGGTTTAAGAGGCGTAATTACATAACAAATTACATAACAAATAAAACGCAATACAGTTTGTTACCAGCAGACCGTATGTCACCATTCATGACTAGAACAATCATTGTAAAACGGGAAATTGCCGCTGTTAGCTGTAGTCGATATAGCTTCAGAATAAACCAAAACATTAAACAACCTGTACATGTATGTACATAATTGGGTATGTATATTAGTACCACGATTCATAAAACAAACGGTAAGAAAACCGCATCAAATTTGATTTAGTCAATCGCAAGATAATTCCGGACAAACGTATTGTATGTACAATACACTATGTAAACACAATACAATAGGTCAAACTGAGAATCTCTTTTTCTCAGGGAGTAACAACAAACTTACTTTTGAGCGTTCCTTTTGGTAAATTATCCCATTTGAAATGCAGGCCCCAGTTAAAACCTCCGCGGACCAAAGGACTAGCCGTGTATTCAAATGTATCTGCGTTGATGACATCGATGACCGGAGTGACCGCACGGTGAGAGAACCTCGTTTCTTTGTCTACTCCCTCCGCCAGACGTGCCAGCATGGGAGGCAGCCAATCAATGTTCACCTCTATATGAGAGTCCAGGAATACAAGAACCTGAAATAATGATAATGATGTCATCAACAGCTCACACAGCAACCCTATAAGCCTAATCTACATAATATGAGGATCTACTCTGCCATAACCTCCATGGCCGGAGTTTGCAGTAGGGTCTCAAAGACTGTCAAATCCCTTAGTTAGCATTTCCGACACTCCCGAGGGATGAAAGGTGGTGATAAATGAACTCTATTTTACCGTCACCACATCACATAACAAGTTAGGGAATTGTATAGGTTGAGTAAGTATATACGTTTTTTTTTACTTTAGTGCCTATATTAGCTATAGTAAAATAATAATTTTAATACAATGTTAAAAACGGCATCATGTTTTGGGTATTAGCCAAACAAATCACCTGCTTATAAATGTGTTTATCAAGGTAACAAAAAATATGTTCAATGCCTCGTTAAGCGAGTTATATGCGCTGACAGCCAACCAGGTTTCAAGTTGGAGATTGCCAATAATTGTAATGTACCCAGGCATGTCCAGTGACTATCAGTAACATTATAGGGATTTACTTATAACTGGTTACTAGTGGCTTCTACAACAACCTTTTTACGGGTATTTTAGAAAAGAACAATTATTATTTTATTACGTACTTCGCCCACACTATTTTCAGCACCATACAGCCTAGCTCGTATTAGACCTTCCCTCTTACTGGTCTTCAGCAGCCTTATGCTTAAAATATCTTTATTCCTCTCAGTCGTTTTCTTATCCACAACATTATCATCATTAATATAGTCCACGACACTCTCCACATCAATGTTATTGGTTTCGATCATTTCCTCTTCCTTGCGCATTCTGTTGTTGAGTTCATTGACTGACTTCTGGACGGCATCGTGTAAGCCGTCTAAGTCACTATAGTCATCGACGAGTATTATCTCTTTGAGGTATTTCATATCAGTGCGGTCCAAAATAGAGTGCACCGACCTCATCAGAGTCTGGTAGTGTTCATTAAAGAAGCAAATAATGACGGAAGTTTTCGGCAGTTTCTCTGAATATTTTTGGATACGACACCTGAAAAATGTTTATTTCATGTAATAATTAATACATATTAAATTTTTCTTATTATGAATTAAACTATCAATCAAGAATACGACGATACGTAGTTACCTTCTGTTTTAGTCCGTGAATATAGTAATTTCAATACTTACAGTTTGTTCCTGGTATCAGGTAAACCTCTGTGATTCCCAATCCGCTGCGAGATCAATGTGTTGAAAGCGTGGACACTGTAGCCACTATCACGAATCCTCACATCTTCTGCATTTCGAATCAATCCAAACTGATTATCTATTGACAACATAAAAATTACAAGTTATAATTAAACTCAACTCAATACTCATTATTTATTTGATACTGATATTAAGTACATAAAAAAAATCTGCATAAATATCAATCAATACTCAATTCGCAATAAATATTGGCATATTTAGCATATGTTTAAATATTCGCAGCACAGGAACAGCTTCAAAATAAGCATATTTAATATCTAATGATCTTAAATACCTACATAAACTTTTAATTAAAAGGTCTCATTGTTACGTTTGGCATTGGCTCTATATAAATTATTATCTACGAAAGCAAAACTCTAAAGTCCCGAGACTAACAACATTATCTTATTAAGGAACCCAATTGTTACCGATCTTATGTCGTACCCGACAAGGATGAGCTCTCTTACATCAATAATGGGCCAATTGCACTTCGTTAGAGTGCGAAATTACATTCGCTGCACTCTGCATACAGGTCAAGTCGCAATAGCATATACCAGAGGTTATTTACACCGTTTTACAGGCACTTGATAGATATTTTGCGATGCAACATTAATTACTTGCTATTTCGCATTGAATTGTTACACAGCTTTGGCGGTTTCACCAAATTCGCTCATACTGCATTCGAATTATATTTACGGTAGGCAGAGGATACATAGACAAACTGGACAGCAGATGATACATAAACCATAATGGTGAAATAAAATCGAAACCAAAACGGGGATAATTTTATTCCAAAAATCATAAATTATCATTACAGTTTTCCATAAATTTAAAATAACTACCAAGCAGCAGGGTGCCTAGCTAATTGAACTTATCAACCTCTGAATGGGGCAATAAAATTAGCTACAACCTAAGTCGTCGCAGATTTCATTCAAGCAAGTAATTTAAGCGGCCAATAATGTTACAGAGTGCAACCAATTGATCATATCAATAAAATTGCTCAAACAGGCACACAATTGACGATAGTGATGTGATCAGAACACTTTAACTGTCAATGTAGATAGTAATAGTTACTCAATATCAACTATTACACTAAAGTTGAAATATTGAATATATATTATGTATTTTGATTCTTGTGTATTCATGAGATTCACAGTTACTTATTTATTTGTTACTCATTCCAAAAAGTTGTTAAAATTTAAGAATAATTTAAATAACTACATAAAAAAATAATTAAGTATGTTTAACTATTTTTGTTTATCTTCCAACTATTAAACTGTCTATAAACCAGAAAAAGAGTAACAATAAATTAATAATTATAAATCTACTTCGCCTTAGATGATTTTTAATATGACTCAGTACTGTGTAATAAGCATACATTTAAGGACTAATGCCTATCCTTTAGTTTACATTAAATAATGATACTGCTAAAACACATAGACAGTCTTTAAAGTAATTGTACTTTAATACATAGTTAAGTACTACAGCAAAAAATTAAGTTAAACTTCGCATTGTAATAAAAGACGAGTGTCACTATAAAGGAGCAGAAAAGTTCAAACTTTAGTAATAGATTTGTAAAATTTTAATAGAACCCTTATTACATTGGGCACATGGACCAATACTACTAATGAACTAAGAATTAAGTAAATAATACTAAGTTAGATTTTTACCATCAAGATGTAATTTGCTATAAGTAATAAATCACTACAGCCTTACCCAATGCGTTGTCTGGTTGCGCAGTCATCTTCAGACCAAGGTGTTTAGCATACTTTTCTTTCAACTTCATCTTACTATAGTAATCAGATTTACTTTTTTGGTATTTCCACATGTTGCCAGAAAATTTTTCGTTAATATTTGCATTATCTAAGAGGAGGTTCTTTCCCTCCAAGGTTGCAATAGATCGATCATTATTTTTCAATTCATTCTTCTGGTCCGTATTCACGAACCTGTAGCTCAGGCGGTTTTCTGTACTATTAATTGTGTTGTCCCCTTAAATTTGATAAGGTGGAATTAACATAAAATAATAATTGAAAGTAATTTTGTATTGATATTTGTTACTTCTAAACAAGCTGTTAAACAGCTGAATTTGTCATTTTTTAGAAAGCTTACTTATTAGGGACTTGTTTTTGTCCAGAAATCTGGATCATCAGGACCTACTTAGAGAAACTTTAACTTAAGTGGTAAAACCACTGGAACTGAAATCTGGTAAGGTAAGAAATTTTAAATATATTGAGCTACATAATTCAAATCATAAAATGATGGTTAAACATTACTGAAATGTTATAATATAATTAAAGTAAAAGAGATTTGCATGGTAGTTGAGTTATGTGTACATGCAGTGTGTGTGTTGAAGATACAGATATAAGATTGACACAAATACCAATTCCAGGGGAACATAAAGTTAACCACATTGATGAGGTTTTAATACAAGTATTGCTAATGAAACTGGTACAACTTACCATTCAAATTCAACAGCCAGTATAAATAAAGCGATATGCTCCAAGTCGCTGACGCAAAGAATATACCCCACACGAATGAATTGTTTAATTTACTCATTCTTCTTCTCAACATAACTAAATTTTTCAAACAACTTTCAAATACTCATTATAAAATAAAAAGATCGCGAAAACTTTTAAGACTGTACGGAACTCGTTAAACACAGCAACTTTCAGATGAATAGAAATGGCACTCCTTACAATGTTCTGCCGGTTATGAAATTAAAATACTTGTTCGGTTTGAACAGAAGAATCTGACGATCAACGGCGACGACGACGAGCCGATGTTAAACACAGCTCTAATATTCACACAGTACACAACTTGCACACAAGTCACACAATATACGAAGTGACATGAACTGACGAACGCGATGACAATGACAATGACAGACACTTGATTTGACAGCCGACCTGACAGTTCGGACAGTATTACAAGCTTTTGAAATATTTTTCCTAAATAATTTAGAAGACTAATATTTTGATAATGTTTCCTAAATATTACACTTTGTGTTGCATTCATTGCAAAATTGCGAGATTTCATTCATTTTTTATAGACATACTAATAACAAGTTAATACATACTAATAATAAGTCAAAATAGACATTTATCTTAACATGCATACCTTAAACGGTGTTATTAGAAACCAATGTTACAGTAAATTAGTTATAATATATGCAAGTATGTGATTATTGGCAGAAATAAATGTATTAGTTTAGCGCAGGATATCGTGCCGCGCCAGAAGCATATTATTCGATATTTATATGCTGACTTAGTAGAGCTATGCTGTGCGCCTGTGGTGGAAAACAAAATGTATTCACAGCCCTGTTACAGTTCAACTCATCTCCGCTCCGCTCGGCTCGACCCCACTTCACGCTGCACCGTCAACTCCGTTTCTGTAGAAATACACCTCTAGAGTTAGGAATGGAAATGGAAAATTAAGTATCGATTTATGGATATCTTTAAGAAATAAATTAATAGCTATTTTTTTTTAAATTAATGCAGCACATATAATCATATTTATCATATTACCAAGGTAACAGACTGCAAATACTGTAGGTCTTGGGTACTTGCAAACTAGTCAATTTCAATACGTTTTTCGCACGGTCTAAAACGATAGTTCTTTAAACATTTTGTACAAGATTGTGTATTGTGATGTCACATCTTTTTAACGTCAAACAGCATACCTACTTACTTCTTAAAAACATCTGGAAAAATACTGAAATTAATTCGGTCATAAAATCTGTTAATGAAAGTGTGATTATTTTTTAATATTTATTTTATTGAATAGTCGAAATAAGGAAAATACCCAATTGACAGGTGACATACGCTCAAAAGTGAAGCAACAACTAAAAAAAACGACTACTTACGTACTTTTATTTTCTTTTTAAGACACCAATAAAACTTTTCAAAAATCATGCTATGTTTGAGTACTCCCTAATTTTGGGGAACTCTTTTTTGCTGGGAACTCTGACAGCAGATTAAATTCATAGACAAACCATATTGTTGCCAGATTTAAATTGATTAGGAACGGTAGAAAAATTTTATTTAAATGTAAAACTTTAGTTTTTGCTCTCTTAATTTCTCGGATATAAATTGTTCATAATATGTTGTTAATATTTTCTATTCCCATTAAATAATTTAAACACTTTTTTAACATGAATAACAACTTATTAATCTGTGTTTCCAAAACAATATAGAATGTATGTTATTAAATCAATCTTAATCACGAGGAAAACACAAATCTACTCATTAAAACACATTTAAATAGAAGTAACTTAAAAAATGTGAAAAAGCGGCTACCGCATTTGAAAAATAGTAATTATTGAACGTTCATAAACTTGCAACTTTGTTTTTAAGTATTGATCGGTAATCCCACACTACCCTTGCCCCTCTACGCTGGAGCCAAGAGCCGGGGGTTTGAACACAGCTCAGTTTATCCTTGGCGTCGGTCAGTGCGGTCGCCTCCCACTCTTCGTATCTATTCCATACAAAGTACTTCCTAGTTCCACCAGTACAGTTTCCAAGAAAATCTTCAAGATGGATAATGTCCCAGTAGTTTATAATTATCCAACTACGTTTGTCACCATGCAAATTAATACCCATCACCCTGCTATCGCGAACTGGAGCACCAAAGAAAAGTACGAGCTGATGAAGGCCTTGCGACCTAACGATTTGGATATACATCGTTTGCTGGAGAAGATTCCCACAAAAACACGCGCAGAAATTGAAGCAGCCATAAAGTTTTATGTCAGCATTGCAAAACACCACCCAATGTTGGCACCACCACCACCACCTCCACCACCAAAACAAGAGAAGAATGATAAAAAAAGGAAGGCGGACGTTTTAAACGATAGCCCACCCGATACGTTACGCGAGTTGGAGGAAGAGCTAAATGAAATTATGCCCACTAACGAACTTGTAATGGAAACAACATCAGCTATTCGAATGATTTCGGAGTATAACAATCGTTCCTCTATGGAACCAGCCAACTCGATTGCCTCCGAGGATGTTTACAAGGGGATTGCTAACGTAATGCAGTCTCGTTCAGGCTCACACACTGCGGAGGGTACTCTGAATGATAACTTCCAAGATACAGCTGTGCGCGCCAATGGACTTGATTCTGATATGACGCAGATTTTGAAAAATATCAAAGTACCCAAACGTAGCTGCACGTCCACTGCATCGGCTACCACATCCGCGTTTGGGTTAGCAAGTGGATCCACTTATGATATGACGTCTCTCCCATCAACCTCGGCGATGCCATCAACCTCGGCGATGGCATCAACCTCGGCGATGGCATCAACCTCGGCGATGGCATCAACCTCGGCGCTGGCATCCACGTCTGCAGCGATGCGGCCTGCTCGTACCAGGCGCAGCGTAGCAACACAGCATAACTCAGTGTCTGTGTTCGCGCAACGGCTGTCACCACCTATATTTTATTCTTATACCGATGATCTGTAATCTGTGCTTGCGCAGCAGTGGCATTCCCGTTTTCAACTACATATTTTACTATTTATAATCATGCATCTAACTCTCATTGTCATAATATATTTCGTAGGTATTGAAATCGATTCTTGTACTTGATGAAATGGATTAAACCATAAGATATTTCGATGTTGTGCGTAGGTGAGACAGTTGGTTTGGGAAATGTTTGATATATTGGGACTGATGTTGAGCTTAGTTTGGCGATGAAGGCTTTGATAATATAAATTCAAAATTTGTGTAACTGTCTGAATCATTTTAGGAACTCGATTGAATCGGATTAATCTTAAGGCAATTTCTCTATACTATTTATAGTTCTTTATAATATTAGTAGTAATTATAATATGTGAAACTCAAATGTAATCTTATCTGTTCATTGTATTGGAACAATAAAAGTTACATATCGTCTCTTCACTCGTTTTATTTCATTTGAAAAAGACTGTCTCCTTAACTAAGCTTATTTTCTTTCAAAAATAAACTTTGCCCCATACATACATTTACTCGTGTGTCTTGGGCGCATTTACTAAAATACAAGTTCACAAACACATTCAGCCAGACCCGGAACAAAAACAAAAAGAGTTGTTCCGTGTGGGAATTGAACCCCTGACACGTTGCGCTTGCGCAGCGGTAGTTACGACACCATAGTTGGTAAAGTATCGTGTATAATGGCAAAACTTCTGGCGGTTAGACCTCTAGGTCCAAAGCCTTTTTTGGATGGGTGAAAATCATCCAATTACTTCTCCCGCCCGGGTGAGGCAAGAGGGAGTGTCAGACTCTAGTTAGTCTTTCGCGGCTCCAGATTGGACATCAGTCCGGTCTTGGCCCCAATTGTGGTGGTCGCTTTGAGCTACTCGAGCTACCCGTGCTCGCTGTCCACAAGCCCGTGCTTACTGAGGCTGGAGATCGTCTCGCGATGCTTGGATGATCTACCGCAACTCTCCGGGCATCGAACGAAAACAGTCGGCGAGGAGGTTCATTCTTTCACCTGCTCCTCGAGCCTTCGTACCCCGCATCCTCCTTAGCTAGTACTACTGCTTCGCAGAAGGGGAAAACGGCATCCCAGCCCCCTCGTCACACACCATGGCCTGAATCAGAGCCGGACGCAAGAGGTCGCGCTTGCCGACCTGAGGACTGTAGCTGAGTCCCCAAGCGGTCACCGATGAACGCTCTTCGCTTACTCCACTATAGACCTTATTTCCAAAGTTTAGAGACTAGTTTTGTATCATAAAAGAGGAGGCTTACCGCTGTCATAACAGCGACCCCTAAAGTTGAATAGATCTAAATAGGTGCGCGTACTCATTTTTATGAAATATCTGTAGTTTAATTTAACTCGTCGAGTACCGGTTTTGTAGACACAATTATAGAACAATAGGTTGCGGTCACTGGTGACCGCTTGGTGTTTGATAGTTTAATAAATAAAATATTTATTTGAATAACGTCAGTAAGTATATTTACTAAAAATACATCATACATAGAGGTATACATTGGTTAAATCTACCCTACATTGATAAGTGTGTCAGTAATAAATTTATAAGGCGGAACTTCTAAATTTTTTGGGGCTGGACCTTTCCTAGCTCTTCCCAAATTATCAAAGTGACTACCATGACAAGGACAATAGAAACCACCCGGCCAATCACCACTATTCGGTATAGGTACACAGCCCAAGTGAGTGCAGATTCCGACCACAACCAGCCATTGGTTTTTTTGTGTACGTTGTTCTTCACCTTCGGGATCTCGTAACGAAGACAACGCTGTATTTTTTTCAGCGTCAATATCTGCAGCAGTTCTGTTTCTGATGAATAAGGGCTTTCCTCGCCATTTGATCGCCAAGCAAGCTCCAGGTAACACTTTAGATAAATCTACTTCAATGCTAGCCAGAGCGATTACATCCGCTGGTGCATCCATGAATGCTACGTAGTGAATCAGATGGGCCTTCGTACCATAAGCTCCAGCAAGTAAACCGAAAAGTCCCACTACATATGTGAATCCTGGTTTACCATCACCTGCCCCCCAAGACGTACTTCGAACATCCTTGTACTCAGATTTTCTATAAGCATCAAAACTGGGAAATTCGATGTCGCGGTGCAGACGCGGATAGCCCTTGCAAAACCTTACTTGTGTCCATATTGTAGGTCCAAATGATACACGTTGGGTTCCTGGGCATAGTTTTAATGGAAGTGTTTCTATATTTCTCTCTTTGATTTGCTTATTTTTCACCAGGATTTTGTTGGCACTTAACAGTTGAGCTGACTTAACAGTACTACGATAGCACGGAGCAGCCCAAAATGTAACACCGCCATACCGAGTGCAGCAGCTGCCTAAGAAGTTCATGTCTATAAATTTTCAGGAATTGTGTAAA